CGGCAGACATTCGACACTCGTCTTTCATACAATCCGTGAGATCTCGCAGTTGAATGAAAAATCACCTATTACCCTAGCTTATTACAACTAGGTTTTTTTGTAAAAAAAAATAAGTGCAGGATTTGTAATAGAACGTAATTAATCATGTGCACAAGTAATCTTTGGTTTGTGGTTACCTTGACTACTGATGGAATAAATCGTGAGCAGTTGTTAAAGAAGTTGTTCCTATTATAGGATTTAACTTCAGAGACATCAAAGATGAATCGGCATTGCTGTCCAACAAATCGCCTTGGTGCTCTTTGAAAAAATACAGATATTTCCAGCGTAATTTATATTTGAAATTGGCAATTTTATCAAATTTGGCTTGAAACTTGCCGCAAGTCTATATAAAGGTCACACATCCTTGTACTTTCCGCAGGCATTGTAATGTAACAGTCACAATTCCCCATGGTAACCTCAGTTTTTCTCACTTGAACTGTTTTTGTTTTGTTTTAATTTAAAAAACTGCTTGCATTAAAAACAATGGACTGCTTCTTTTTAATTTTTCAGAATGTTGGAAGACTACTACTCAAACGACCCAAAGGTCAGAGGTCAATTTCCTGGCAAGGCTACAAAGGCGCCATTAAGTTTATGGCACACTGTACCTTCATTGATCTTCTGGTGTGCAGTTGCCACACCATTCATAGCAACGGAAAGAGGAAGGTCTCTGTACTGGAAAGTTGGTTTATTCAGCACCTTTGGTGGCTGTTTGTGGATGTCAATGACTACGTGATCTGATCTGAGATACTTAATGATTGTTTCAGTTTTAAGAAGTGTTTATTCATGCATTGTACATATTCCATATACTGTAAGACCATTTATTTTCACTGACATTTAATTTCATTTTTTTGATGTTTTGAGCAATTTTCACTCGATTTTAAGTTCACAAACTTTGTAAGAAACAATTTATCGTTTTATTGTTATTTTACAAGTTCATGTGGATTTAATTCAGCGAATTTTACTTGCCAACGAAAAGTGAAATTAAAAATCACTGAATAATTACAGTGTACAGTAACTGGTTGCATCCATCTCCTTGGTCTTCAGTTTCGATGATGTATTAGAAATTCATTTGAACATTATGCATATTGAGGATTTATGTGTCAATGGAATACAATCGGTTTTGATGTGTGATTAATATTTTGTATTTGAAATCGTATGAATTGTAAGATGATCACAAAATCGCAATGATGATGTATATTTCTAGACATATTAATGCAAATGAGCGAGTCTGTGAAAGAACTGGTTAGTGTTTGTTTGAGGTTGTTTTTGCTTTTTTGTTTTTTAGTGTTCTTGTGTATTTGTAGCAAATTTTTTGCTTTTTTGTACCTCATTTGTTTTTTTATTTCCACAATCAGATCTCGCTAAGTGTCCCTGGCATTCTGTGTCCCAATTTTCAGGAATACATTTCATTGAACAGGAGCAAGATCTTCATCACATGTAATTTTACATGGAAATCTGAATTGAAAGCCCTAAACTTAAAAATAAAGAAATATCAATAATTCAAAATGCATGCATATTAACTATTTTGTTACTCCATCGAACAAATTCTACTAAATTTGTTGCCAAAACAACAGTTTCAATTTTGTGCTAAATTGTTCTCTTCTGTATAAACCTTTTCACCACCAGTTTTCTCTTTTCACCACAAATTCACAAAATAGTTTCATTTATAGTCTGCAAATTTGTCTGTTTGCTTCAAAATTAGGGTTCATTTCTAGAAATATTGAAAAATATTGGGGAGGGGGAGTGCAGAAAAAGTGGGGGGGGTGAAAAGATTACGATATAGAATCAAACAAAATTATTCAAACAATACTCAAAATTATATTCATAATATACTTATATTCACTCTTATGTATGAAATATTTTGTGCTTGCTTTAAGCGACAAAAGGAGTTGTGACAAGTAATTTCATATAAGGTTCTCATGTGACATGGATCAAACTGGATCAGAGTTGACCAAACTAGATCAAACTGGATCACAGTTGATCAAACTGGATCACAGTTGACCAAACTAGATCAAACTGGATCACAGTTGACCAAACTGGATCATCAGAGTTGACCAAACTAGATCAAACTGGATCAGTGTGAATCAAACCGCGATATCTTTGTATACTCAGTCTGGTAATTTTTATTTCACATAAATGTTCTGTGTGAATTGATGTTGCTGTTTTGCAAAACAATTAAAAAAATAACTGTTCCCAGTATAATATGGTGGATTCAAGATATATAATAGACTAGTTGTTTAGATATATACATGTACTGTCTACTAATTAGGCAACACTTCACAAACAATTCCCTTAAACAGTTTGACTGGAATTGTAAACTACTACTATAAACTACTTTATTTTCACTTGGAATTTATTTCCGATATCATGGAGGGATGAATCAGTGAAAATAAAATCTAGTGAAAATATCCTTTTTGCTATATTTTGCATTAAAGAAATCAGTGAAAATAAATTCCATACAAACCAGCCAAAAACGTCTTTTTAGCCAATAATTATTTTACAGCACCTCTTGAAACGGTCATGATACAAATGATTTGAAATCGTGGTCATGTGATGGTTATAGCACTATATACCATTCATGGTCATGGTCTTCCTGCCATTGTGTAACCATGGTAACTATAATCAACAATTTTTACAGGTATTTGTTTTATTGGTGTGTATGTATATACACCTTAGTAAAGCAATATATTTTCAATTGATATATACTGTTTTGTGAATTGTAAATTAAACCAAAAAGCTATTTAATTATAATTTATTGGATAATTATGACCATAGAAATTGCTAATAGAGCAAAGTTTTTTTTTTTAAATGGCTGCCATGGAAACAAGTTTGGTGACCCATTGATTTGCTCATTTTTCAAACCAACTGGGCACAAAGAGTAAATAGCAAAATTACTCGGAAACATTACTGTCCAAAATTATTTTCATATGTAATATGATTTTATGAGTTTCAGAGACTTTATTGTACTGTAACTAATTTTGTGAATTTTAGATAAATTGCTGAATGTAGCAATAAAACTATCCCTTGCTTTCACTAGACAAGAAGTCACTTTTGTTGAATTTTAATCTGATCTAATATCGTCACTTTATCAAACTGTGGTTATTTAACAGAATTTATGCTAATTGTGGCATTAAACATTCATAGTTGTGTCAAATATTGTATACTTATAAGTTGCACCCTGGAAGTATTCATATAGCTTTATTGGCACCTTGGGACGGCATGTACTATTTGATATATTGCTGAATTTGAGTGCATTAATTTCATGAAATAAACCTGAGGATTCAACAGGATTTATTCGACAGTAATTCAGGATAGAATTAAATCACTGTGAAATCCACACATGATGGAACACTTATACTAGTATTCAAAAACATTGGTACTAACAATTTGACAGGAAGCTGAAATAATCACAAGCACTTGCGCACACTGAAATTTGAATATTGCATATTCCCCGCTATTCAGACCATGCAACTATTTCATTTAATAGACACTCAATTACCAATTAGAGCGCTCAGAAAGCAACTTTTAAAATTTAACTTAGTTTGTTTGACCTTTGTATTTTGCTGAAGCACTTCTTGAAATTGCATAAAATGTTTGCACACCATTGATTAGACTGGCAAACTCTGGACTTTTTTTTTGTTTTACAAAAAATATAATTTAGCCAATTTAGCCTTTTTAACGTGATCGTGAAAACTAGCGTGACCACAATTTTTTTTTTCGGTCACGTTAGTTTTCGCGATCACGCTTAAAAAGACTTAAAACAAATATTTCTTTTTGCAAAACAAATAAAAAGTTCCGACTTTGCCAGTCTGGCCATTGATAAGAGAGATGAATTATCATAGTAATGCATTATAGCCAAATATTGCTGTACCTCCATCTGGGGCATTTCCGTCCTATGTATCATTAAACATTGACCGATTTAACATCATTGTTTTCATTTCAGGATTTTTCACAAAATTATGATGGTGATTTTTTGTTTTGCTTTATATTTTATACATGACATGATTTTGGTGCCAATTAATGTGTAGTTTTTCAGTCAAACATATAAATAACTGTTAAATCAATTTCAGAGTGGAACATATTTTATCAGGTTTGATTGTATTTGCTGTCTAGATATATGCAGTGAATTCAGTAATTTCAGTAAAATAGTTTTTTCTAAACTTTGTGTTTTTTTAATGGATGGCATTTGTGTTTGATCTGGTGATGTATGCAAGTGTGGGGTTTACAGATTCAACACTACAAGTTCGGGATTTACAGATTCAACACTACAAGTGTGGGATTTACAGACTCGGCACTACAAGTGTGGGATTTACAGATTCAACACTACAAGTGTGGGGTTTACAGATTTAACACTACAAGTGTGGGGTTTACAGATTTAACACTACAAGTGTGGGGTTTGCAGATTTAACACTACAAGTGTGGGGTTTACAGATTTAACACTACAAGTGTGGGGTTTACAGATTTAACACTACAAGTGTGGGGTTTGCAGATTTAACACTACAAGTGTGGGGTTTACAGATTCAACACTACAAGTGTGGGGTTTACAGATTCAACACTACAAGTGTGGGATTTACAGATTCAACACTACAAGTGTGGGGTTTACAGATTCAACACTACAAGTGTGGGGTTTACAGACTTGGCACTACAAGTGTGGGGTTTACAGACTCGGCACTCCAAGTGTGGGATTTACAGACTCAACACTACAAGTGTGGGGTTTACAGATTTAACACTCCAAGTGTGGGGTTTACAGACTCAATACTACAAGTGTGGGGTTTACAGATTTAACATTACAAGTGTGGGATTTACAGATTTAACACTACAAGTGTGGGATTTACAGATTCAACACTACAAGTGTGGGATTTACAGATTCAACACTACAAGTGTGGGATTTACAGACTCGGCACTACAAGTGTGGAGTTTACAGATTCAACACTACAAGTGTGGGGTTTACAGATTCAACACTACAAGTGTGGGGTTTACAGACTCAACACTACAAGTGTGGGGTTTACAGATTTAACACTCCAAGTGTGGGGGTTTACAGACTCAATACTACAAGTGTGGGGTTTACAGATTTAACATTACAAGTGTGGGATTTACAGATTTAACACTACAA